ACCAACTGTCACATATTCGCCCTGATATATTAACCTCCCAAACCCAGTGCATAATGTGCAGTATTACTTTCATTTTCTAAATATTATAACATATTTGACCTTTTCACACAACAGCATATTGTTAATCTCCCGTAGATTAATGTACTTCTACGGCACAGTAAAGTATCCTCCCCCCCCCCCATTTTTGTTTGCAATTTGTGTTTAAAATTTGTCCAATTACCTACGGTGTGTCAATTGCTATAGATATTCACAAATCCGACCTTTTCACACATACGCCCATATCTCAGTTCCCAGTGAGCCAGATATGCAACACAGAAGAAAAAAGTTATCTCACAATACGGAGTTTAACTGCTCGCAAAAATACCTTAAATACATACATTACCTGCTATGCTGAACCAAAAACGAAACATCCTCATGAATTGACCTGGTACAAAGATATATGCTTCCCAATAGTTGATGCAGCTCATGTAGTCAAAGTGAATGTCTCATTAAATGAGCATCGATGTAGTGCTCTTCTACTTTTTACAGCTCTGAGCCAGTTGTGGAAATTCCACATTCATACGACAGGGACAAGTATGCCGCAAGAAAATTATTGTGGGCTTCCCTGAAAAGTGGTATCTATTGTATCGACTGCAGAGGGATGATGATAAATTTATCACTTCCCCATACTGGACATCTTTGAAAAAAGAGCTTCATTGCTCAATGGATTCCTCCAGTCGAAAAACATATTCTGATTCTGATAACTTTCATAGAATAGGTCCATAGTGAAATAATAACACCAAAATGCACTGCATTTAACAATTAGAAGTGGACGGAAATGTTTATACCTCTAAGTAAATAGGATGAATAGCCATGGCTTATAAAGCAGGATTGCAAGATCTATTGCACACGTATATGCACAACTGCTCCCAATGGATTCGTACTATGCATCTTATTTATACGCATTTGAAGTCAAATAAGATGTGCGTTATATATCCAATATTATCTCCCATTAGAAAGTATATTTTACTATGAAGTGTACTGTCGTCATTAAATTAATTGTAGTTTAACAAAATTCAAATAACTATGGAGTGCTCAGAGGTTTTGATGTTCCCAGAATTTACTCCCATTAGCATATTTTCTAGAGAATTCTTCTGTTCTTACAATTCTATATATATTTGTTAAGGTTTTTTTAAAATCCAATGTTGTGTGTGAATGCATTTCACATTTGACAGTTTATGTAAAAACTAAAACAAGGTGATAACGACCGCATATTAAGATTTTCAAATGCTCGTTCGTTTGTTTCTCAACCCGCTTGTCCTGGTGAGGGTCGCGGCGGCATCATGTTGAGTAGGGCAGTCCAGACCTCCCTTTCCCTGGCCACTGACTCTCGCTCTTCCTGGAGAATTCACAGGCGTTCCCAGTCCAGCCAAGCGACAGTCCCACCAGCATGTTCTGGCCCGGCCCCGACATCTGGTAGAGTTCCAGGGGGAGTCTACCAGGGGGCCTCCTTACCAGGTACTCGAACCACCTCAACTGGCTCCTCTAGATGTCGAGGAGCAGCAGATCGACCAAGGCTGGCAGCATCGGGTTTTTTTCCAATCGGGTTTTCATGGTATTAATAAAAAAAAACGATCATCTCAGATGGCCAAAAATCCGGTTTTTTTCGGTTTTATTGCCAGTTAATCCCTATAATTAGTATAGCCCCCACAAAAGAGAAGACAAATAACACGTTCCGCTAAAAGATGATGGTCAAAGATCGCAAGACGCCGATGGAGTATTGGCTGTCTGATGGTAGTGAGTGGCCTGAGCTGCAAAAGATCGCCGTCAAGCTGTTCAGCATCGCCACATCCAGTGCCGCATCCGAGAGGAACTTCTCCACCACGGCCTTCATTCACTCCAAGCTGAGGAATAGCCTGAGCATAAAGTCGGCGGAGAAGGTCGTCTTCATCAAGAGCAACATTCCCACTTTCTTGGACGGTGCGGTTGAGATGATCGAAGAGGACAGCGAATACGATGACTTTGGCGCCGATTGACGACAACTTGACTTGCCGGATTAAAACCATGTTTTTTTCTTTTTGTACGAAATCGGGTTTTTTTAATACAAAACCCATAACCCGAGAACATTTGCAAAAAAAAAAATCGGGTTTTTTCCACCCTTGAGATCGACTTTGAGGCTCTCCCGGATTACCGAGCTCCTCACCCAATCACGGAGAGTGAGCACAGCAACCCTGTGGAGAATCTTCATTCCGGCCCCTTGTACCCAGGATCTCATTCTTTCGGTCATTACCTAAATCTCATGATCATAGGTGAGGGTGGGAACGTAGATCGGCCTGTAAACCGAGAGCTTTGTTCGAGAACTCATCTCCCGCTTCACTACCGTGGAATGGTACAGTGCCCGTAATACTGCAGCTGATCTCCCGCTCCCACTTACCATCACTGGCGAAAGAGATCCCGAGGTACTTAAACTCCTACACTAAGGGCAGCTGTTCCTCTCTCACCTGGAGAGCATAATCCACCAGGAGTGAACCATGACCTTTGTTAAATGTGTGTATTCATAAGATTTTTTTTGCTATGAAAATGTTGTGTCATGAAGGATATATGAATACGAATGCAAGAAATGTAAAGATAATTATCATACAACATAAAAAAACAATGTATTGCTATTTAAATATAATTAAATAATACGTCTTTTAAAATAGTAAAATGGGTTTTTTATGATTGAATGTTTGTTTGTGTGTGTATTAGTCACTGTATATGTAAAATAAATGTATGCGCTAACTTTGCTTCACTTTGGAATGTGCAGTTTTGTTGAACAAGCCCAGGGCTCCCTTCAAGTAACAGTCTGTAGGCAGGCTCTTAATTAGTTACACGAATTTCACGACTACACTACTACAGTAATTGTAGTGAAGGAAAGCAAAGGTAAAGGTACAGCATTGAATTCACTTTTTCAAGCCCACTGCTGGTATATATCTAATAAAGGGAGCTCTAGAGACCATATCTACAAGGCATTCTCGCTTACTTCTCCAGGCTGACGAGTTGAGGCTGGAGTACCCACACTTTATCCCCAACACACGTGGCCTGACGATCGTCCAAGTGTCGTCTACCCCCTATGTACTCTGCTGGGTAGATAAACGCGGGGAAATTACAAACAAAACTCAACCATTGTTTCAACTGCTGTACCAGTAGATTGAACCGGAGTGACAGTGTGCTAACCATTACAGCAGTGGTTCTCAAACTTTTTGGGCTATTGTGCCCCCATGTTGAATTTGATTTCAACCGAGTGCCCCTTTGCCTGACCTGGCAAGGTTCTGAGAAATAAACGTATGACTAATGAACATCAATATTTTAACCAATTGTCCATTTTGTGAGGTATCCTAACTAGCGAGAAACTGCAAGCGAAAACAAAACAATCAACGGACGCTCTGCATGCACGCACAACGTAATTTGTTCGCGCTCGCTGGTTACTGTACCCATACATATGTAAAATTGTATCAATTGACATGAGAATTGCATGGAATAGTTCTCTAAGCAGGCATATAATTCAGGGTTTAATGTATCTGTGACTCTGAGGTTGTTTTCAATCCCTCCAGATAATATATTGTTTTGATGTTGTCATAGAAATGCATTTTCTTTAATAGATGGCAGCTGCATGCATCAACCAGAAATTAGAGGATTTCTCTTTAAACTCTGACAAAATTTGCCCCAATATTATTTGATCGTGAAATAAATTCCTTATTATGTTAAATAAATACTTCTGTGATCTAAAAAAAACCCGATGAATATCCTGCTGGAGATGCAGACTCAATTGGCATGACAATGTTTCGCTCGCTTAGCAACAAAAAAGGATTTAACCAGGGATTGACTCCACTCTGATTAAACAAATGTGCAAACCGAGCTCTTTTGACTTGTCATATAATTCATGGCAAACACATTAAGTGGGATATTTATTAATAATTCAGTCAACTGTATTTATGGTTTCAATGTTACCATTCTTTACTCGTTGGTTAAAAATAAACACTGCAGTAATGTTTAGAGAAAATATACAATTATTCAGATTACTGGGTGCTTTTATGTGCCCAATTACTGTATAAAATAGCAATGGGAACAGGTATAATTTGAATAACAGCAATATTCAGCTTGCTTAAAGCGAGTCAAAAAGCCAAATCAAATGGTTCTGTGTGCTCAAACGAACTTTGGGGTGGTGCTAGTTTTTGTAGGTGGAAATTCCACAACCACAAGAGTAAGGTGAGTTTCTTCGGAGCGTAACCACCATTGGCTTTCCCTATTAAAAAAAATGTAATTTTATGAATAGGATATGAACATTCCTCCTTGGGATTGTGTGTCAAGTGCTTCATCTACAGCACTAAATGGTAAAATGTTGTCCCAAGCAAGCAAATGTGTGTGTGTATATAATTGTACAAAATGTTCACTTAAGTCAATTATAGAAGTTTCTTAAAGGCAGATAATGTAAAGCACTCAACCGGTGTGGTATTGAGGAAACATTTAAGATTGCGAAATTAATAAAGGGAAGTTTCAAATGAATTGGAAAGCATAGCGGCAAATTGTGCACGGAAAAAGTAACCACTTTACTAATGCCCGAGTCATTGTTTTTGATTAAAAAAATAATCATCAAGAAGAGAACACTACAATTCATTTTTGTAGTTTCCTTCAGTTACAATAATTTACTCGAATAAAGGGCACGCATCTTAACACGAAACATCATTATAAATGTGTTAATGTCCCGCGTACGATATGAATAATGGATAAGAATTGCAATAATATTAGTGGGATGAAAGGGATACAATAATTGTTAATATTAGAAGAGATAGTGTTCTTCATTTCATTGTCATTTATGGTAATGAACTCATAACCACCCAAAAGCATAAATCATGCAAGAACCTGCTTGATAAATGGGATATTAATAAACTGCATTTCTTTAAGCCAAAATACAGTACAGAGTTGTCCATACGGTTTACATTCATTCACGTGGTTGATTAATTCCGATTGGAAACACTCACCCGTCTCGTGTAGCTCCACTTTTCAGGGTGATCTGCAGTGTGGCAGTCGAAAACTTCTCTCCATTGTTGATTTCAGTGTTAATGTCAAAAACATTCGTTTCGCTGGGCAGGACACCAATGAACGATATGCCTCTCTTGCATTTTACCCTGCGACGAAAATATTTAAAGCGTTACGCTTATAGAATCACAAAGACGCACACAGATGGCAAGCATAACAACATCTGTAATTTGCCAAGAATATGCGGTGATATCACCACAGATCTTACATCAAGGAAGGTCCACCTTGACTCATGATTGTATGTAACAACAATAGTCACCATTTGCCACTAAGTGGTGATGACGTCCAAGGCTATGTGCACTTTGAGGCCACGTGAAACATCAAAGGCTCACTGACAAGGAGATCACGGGACAGATCCAGGTGTTATGGGTTGACTGACTGAGATGACTAACATGCACCACCTGTTTTCCCCACTGTGCCACTTCCATGAGTTTTAGCTGCTCGGCGTTCTGCTAGGTGTGTGAGCGTTACTTCTCTGCTCTCCATTGTTGTTGGAGGGCAACTGACTCCAACTGTCCAGGAGCCTCCTCCACAGAAATCGATGTTGACACCGCTGGTATCAGTTATCGGCAAGTCAATTCAATTTCACACCCTCACGTACTACATCAGCCCATTCCTTCTCTAACCTATGCAATTCCCATCTATCCCCCTCTATCCAGCCAACAAAAAAATGATTGGTATTGTGGTGGCAGACAAAATAACCTCACCTGCTGGAAGAGCTCTGGAATTCACAGCTTCCCAAACCTCACCACCACGCTCCCACACTCCTTTTATTCTTTTGCTCAGATTGGAGCCACTCTCTGTTGGTTGGCAGTGTCCTGCCCTTAGTGGAGAACCGTACATTCCTCAGAGTAACTGTAGCCAAAACCAGCCCAATGGACCTCCTGTATTCTACAGAGGTTGAGGCGGTACCGGTCAAGCCGCTAACATAGGAGCATAGGAGGAATGGCAGCCTCTCCTCTGTAGTGAGCGTTAAAACATTCCACGTGGACCATCTGCAGTGGTTTCCAGCTGTTTCTGGATTAACCCTGGGTGGGGTTGGGGGTGGCCATTTTGAAGGTGTGAGGGGTTAGTAGCCCCCTCACACCCGTCCAAGGCCCCCATTGGCCGCTGTGGTGGCTGCGTGCATGCCACGAGGGGAACAGCTGATTAATATAGGCCTTCCTCGAATGGCATTGCCCACAGCACACTACATTATTACTGACTGGTAACCAGCAAGGACATTGTGGTTATTTTGTCCAGTCACGCAAATACACGCACAGATACATGCACATACACGCTGAATAATTTAATTCCATTAAAAACGATAAGGACATGCCATTATGTGGCTAAATGTACAATAATGGCAGCTACCATCTAAATGACGATGGGTTATTTGCAATCAAGCTATTCATTTCCAAGCATAGCTTTTCGAAACTTTTGAAACAATTTAAAAGTTACATCATAGAGCACTCAATTTGTTTAAAAAATGCTTGTGCAACATGGAAATAAAATGGTGTCTGGAGTATTGATCTGATGGAGTACGCTTAAGATGCACAAAACTGCTGCGACATTTAGCACAGGACCCTTGAGTGCTCTTGTGAGACAAGGGTTGAGCTCTGGACTCACGTAATTCTGCCACAGTTAATAAAAGGGAACATATTTGGTTATTTTCCAAGATTACACAAAGAGTGGTTTCTTGGCAGAGCAAATTTGCACAATGCTTTGTTTAGGTGTCACATCCTTGACCTCAATCCAGCTGAAGGGTTTAAAAAAAATCTACCCTAAGGGTTGCAGTTAATATTTATTCATATTATGTATAAAAATATGATTTAATGGCAAAGTACAGGAAAACTTTGCCCAACACGGCTTTATTGAACGCGTGTTTCGGATCTACAAAGTTTACCTAATGAGGTCTGTTTTTCAGAACATGGGGGTGATGTTTTGGCCATACTTGGTTTGACGCTGCTATGATTCTCATCTCCACGTGGAAAAGTAGTGCCGTGGGAGTGCTGCATCCGTTGCAAGGTGTGAATGAATCGACTGTGAGAACGATTTATTTACCATGCATGTTTTTGATGTTTGTATGCTTTTAGTGTGTGTTATTTTTGTGTGATAATGTTACACACTCAACACTCAGAATGGCACAGCATAAATGTTCACACATTGCTGCATGCATCTAGCCAGGACTTTAAGTCATACTGATGCCGCCTAGTTGGCAAATCTTGAACGTTCAAGTGACAGTGTTAGGGGCGAGCGTGGGGCTGGCAATTCAGAGTCAGGGGCGAGCGTGGGGCTGGCAATTCAGAGTCAGGGGCGAGCGTTGGCCATGAGTACCGAAGTGCGTGAAGGGTAATGGAGATGTGGGTTTTGAATTCAGATTAAATTGAAAAATAAAATGTGTATACACACACAAGTAATGGAGAGTGACTTAGCCTCCTACATTATAGACTGCCAGTACACTCACCAAACTTAATAACCAGGCTACAGTCTACATTATAGACTGCCAGTACACTCACTCCGATTAAAAACAAGGCTACAGTCTACATTAGTGGTTATTTGTTTATTATTATTTTTATTTTATTATTATTTTTCAATCTACGTGACTTTATCGAAAGAACCAAAGATGCCTATTGAAGTGACATCGGGGATGTCACTGTATTGTGCCGGCCCTAGAGGGGCACGGCGTGCGATGAACCGTCATCGTGGACACCTGTAGGTGGGTGGACAACCAGCCCTAGTGAGGGCTTGGTGAGTGGCACCACGCATGGAGTGCAGTGCTGTCTCCTAACGGAGGGAGTGGGAGAGTGTCAGCCCAGGGACAGGGTTATCCTGGGCCATGGCACTCTGGTTGACCCCGAAGGCACGTGACTGGTAAAGTCTACAGGGGGCCCCCAGGTGGGGGCTCAAGGGTGGTCACGTGTCCGGGGGAAAGTTGTCTCAAGAAGAGTCGAGAGCCAGAGCTCTCTCAAAGGTGGGCGGGGTCAAGGGCAGAGCCGGCCCCGATTCGGGAGCATATAAGCCGGGTCCCTGAAGGGACCGGGGTCGGCGTTGCTCCCGTCATCTGAAGATCTACGTTCTATGTCCAAGAAGAGTCTCCAACACGTGGTCCGGAACCCGAGCTGGCGTCCGGTCCACTGTAGCTAACTCCCAGTGTGTTAGTGTAGTTAGCCGGGTGGTCCACCACCCTAAGCTGTTATCTGGTAAAGGGGCAGCTACCCATTTGTGTATTCGTGTTGGTGTAATAAATGTGTTGCCTCTAAGAAGTACGTCTGCGACTCAGTTGGGCCCACTACACTATTATAGAGTTAGTATATCTACGACTACAGCCAGTACAAACTGCTATAGAGTTAGTATAGCTACTACTACAGCCAGTAAATACTGCTATAGAGTTAGTATAGCTAGTACTACAGCCAGTTCAGTTCATTTATTAGGTCTAGCCCTGTGAGCATTGCGGCTCTTGACTCGGGTGCAACCGCAACAAAAAAAACATGAACAAAGAACATCTTAAAGTGACTACGCGCAACAGAAAAATCCAGGAAAAAACATCAAAGTCTTCCAGAAAAAACACCGTATATCAACGCTGTGTGCAAAAATCCCAGTGGGATGTAAGTCAAACAATAACAACCATTAGACAATTTAGATAAAAGTTATCAGGCTAACTCTGTACTTCAACAAACAAACATGGCTAAACCATACGTTTTCGAAATCACCAAAATAAAGATATAAAAACAATGTTACAGTGATCATAGGAACTGTGATTCAAATTTAACAATAAACGATATACATAACATGTACGACCAACTTTGCAGCCATAGTTGGCAGCATGAGTCACCTTATAACAGCAGGAGTATCTGCAGGAGTATCAAAAATTTTCAATACACCTTTAAAGATCAGCACACTATAATCAAAACTCAAGATCATACTTTGGAGCGGTCATCAAAAGAGCGATGCATTTGGTTTCAGGCCACTCTGCATAGCAGTGGCAGCGGAGGGTGTACCGCTCCTCAAGAGCAGTTTTGAGTGCAGATCTCACAGGTAGTGATCCAAGTTGCAGTTTATTGGCAATAGCAATCCAGATCCTGGGGGCATCAACAGCAAAGGCCCTTCCTCTAGTATTTGTACGGCAATAAGGAATGTGAAGCTGGTAAATGAGCGAGGACCTTAGGTCACATTTGTTCTTCTAAACAGTGAGGAGATCCAGCAGGCAGTCTGCTGATGTTTTTGTAGGTACATCGTGAATAAATAAGATCTGATGCACAAGCCGTCGATCATTAAGAGATGTTAAGTTTGACCCAACAGAGAGATCACAGTGGTGGATCCTATATAGGCAGTTCAATGCAAATCTTAAGGCCGAATGATAAATTGAGTCAAGCTTCTTCAGTACAGTACTGGGGGCTGATTTATATACGATGTCACAGTAATCAAGTAGAGGAAATTCCAGACGGAACATAGGGGGGAAGCAATGCTTGTGTCGATACAGAAAACCTATTTTTTATTTTGTCTTTTTACCAATTGAATCAATGTGATCTTGAAAATTCAGTTTTGAATCAAAAATGACCCAAGATACTTATAGATCTTCACTTTCTCTATTTTATAATTATTTAAGGAATGTAATTACGGAAAAATAACTTCCTGCTTTAGTCCTGGTGAGAAGCATAGCATCTTGGTTTTGGAGGTATTCGGGACTAGTTTAAAAGAGTAGCTCTCCCCGACGGGGAAATAAACCCCGGTCTCCCGCGTGACAGGCAGGGATATTAACCACTATACTATTGAGGATTTTTATTGAATTTTTATTTTACTTTTATTAATTTTAATTTTTTACCTACGTGACTTTACCGAAAAACCCAAGAATATGAATCCTTGCAGTCACGAAAGCTTCAAATCTAGAATTAGTTCAAGAGCAACACGCTGATGTTGTAGTTTGTTGAAATCACCCTGGAGCTTAGTAATCACGTCATCCGGAGAGCGGCCAGCAGTAATCAGTATCGTGTCATTTGCAAACAGATTTACCCTCGAATAATCCAGGTCAGTGCCCAAGTCATTGACATAAAGAGAGAACAAGAGGCGGCCAAGGATGGAACCCTGTGCAACCCCTTTTGTTATCTTA